AATGAATGATATACTCTTTTTCTTTCGCTAGGTTTTTCTCCCACAGGATTTTTCCTAGTTAAAGTTTTTTAATAAGGCACATTCATATATACCAGACATCTAAGAGAGAGTGTTATGAATATAATAATATCTTTGTGGATGTCCATATATCTCCCATTATCTCCTATATCTCCTATAATCTCTAATATCCCCTATTATCTCTATATCCCCACAATTATCTCTTACTATTATGTAATTTGTAGATTCTATCAAAGATGTAAACCTGTACCTATAAATAAAGGCCATGTATCATGTATTTAGTTACTCTTAAATAGAATGAGAAATACTCTCTCTTGTTGATTTTATCTTCTTCTCTATTATTCTTCCTTATTTCTTCTTTATTTATAACAGCATCTTTGTTTTGTATTTTTGATCAAGCTATTTTAATTGAAGATTACATTCCAAAAATGAAGATAGTGTATACATATGCAAGTGAATGAAGTCGTCAAATAAAAAAATTCCTCTTTTTTTCAATAAAATAATTACTTCCTCTGATTTTATATTATAAGTGACAATTAACACCCAGATAAAAAAAATTAGTTAAAATTAATAAATATTGATGAGAAGTAAATTTTTTAAATATAAAATTATTTATGAAGATGATAAGTGAAAGATAGAATAAGCGGAAAAAGGTTGAGAGAAAATAGATTGAAAAGAGAGTAAGAGAGACATGTAATTAATTATGAGTAAAAATAAAAGAAAACATATTAAATTTTTATATAGACACAAATTGTTATTTATATATAAGACTAATCATAATGTTATTTATATTTAGGACGGACGGAAGAAGTAATCTTTAGAAACTTTAACCTTCTTGTTTTCTCCCAGATTTCTGTGACCAACACTATAATTTTGTAATTGTATATTAATTGTCCTTTTGGCGAAAAAGAAGAGAAACTATCTTGCAACTGCAAAGTTCAAACCCAAAAGCATCGTCGGGTCAAAATATGACAGAAGAAAAACTCATCCCTTCCAAGTTAATTTGAACTTTAGATGCAAAGTGGAAAGTAAAGACCACGAGTTCATAGAAATTGACTTCTAAGTTCTAAAAAAATGAAAAAACTACGGAAAAAGCCTTTTTGAAATCACTAAAATATGTTAAATACCATAGCCTTTATTTATAAATAAGTTTGAGTATTCATTTACTAAAATGCCTTTAATTTAAGAACGTATTCCCTTCCCCATGATCACCACTTAATTACCACTATTATATATCAAATCCACTTTAATCATATATGTTTTAGGTTTATAAGAGTTTTAAGGTTGAATTTCCACCAAAAACTACTTTATCAACATTTGTTTCGCCATTGGCCAAGGTGGCTCAGCTGGCAATAGCGGGCATGAGGAGGGAATTGTTTTTCCCTCAAAAAATAAGGATATTTTAGTAAATATACACTCAAACTACTTTATAGATGAATGTGATAAGATTTGGAATATTTTAATGATTTTAAGAAATATTTTTAAGAGAGTAATTTTCCCCTAGCATTCATCAAACTTTTCTTCTATTAATAAAATTATTTTCTTCCACAAAAAAATAAAATTAGTTTGTTTTGTTTCATTCAGAAATTCGATATTATTATTCACTGCTAAATCTCTATCAAGATCTTGTAACTTTTAATGCTTTCCGTTCTTATTTAGCTTTTTTTTGACCTTGAGTTCTTATTTAGCTTTACCCTCTGCACCGCATAAACTGTGACTTATATTAATATTAATATCATTTTTCCTTTTTTCTCGGAAAAAAAATCTCTATATGCATTCATTTATTTCAATTCTATTTTAGTTTAACTTTTTAAAGAGTCATAAATTGTAAGTGAATATTGAATAGTAAAAAAATGATCATAAATGGGCTTATGCTGATGTCAAGTCATATTGAAATCAAGTCATTGGATCATGCTTCACGTCTACTCTATACTTATGCTAAAATTCATGAAATACCTATCCGATTTCTAACTTTCTTATTTCACTGTTGGCCTTTGGGAAAAGAAAGTTTTCTTATTTTATCGTTAAATATAAATATTAACTTTGCAACAGAAGCTGAAAAATGTAACAAGAAAAGTCTCATAAAGATACTAATTATCCATTTCCTAAAACTAAACACTTTTTTTTGGACTGAAAATTTCCTAAAGCTAAACACTATCTATCAATATCAAATAAAATTTCCAATTCATCAGGAGTTCTTTAAAAATGTTTTGGCGAGCCAGGCAGCAACTAAATTTGATGTTCGCAATTCCTAGCACGTAGTTGTCATTGTTGGGTATATGAATCTTTCAAAAACAGGATGGCCTATCGGATCTAATCTGACTTCGTTAATTAACAATAAAGTGAGTTGTTTATTGTCCCAAAAAGAGAATTATCGTTCACTAATTTCATATTAAGAAAAACTTACTTTTAGATTTTGTTCCATCCGGCTTACAGTATTTACATTTTTCAAGAATAATTATTTATTTTTCTAATCTATGAATAATTCTTTATTTTTAAACAAAAGATCCTTTGAAAAGTAAATCTCATTCTGAGCTGAGATCCTATGAAAAGTAAATTCTTCCTTTCTTACAAAAGATTCGAATCTCTGGAGAAACAAAAACAAAGAAAAAAGGGAGTAAAAAACGTAATTACTAAAGTCTTTTTTTTTCACACAAAAAATTCTTCTGGTTTGGTTCTGCCTATCTATGTTATTTCTCGATTTTCCGTTGAAGTGTAGTGCTACTCTCTTTGGTTTTTCTCTTCCCGCGCACTCCATTCAGGAAGACGAATCTCTTTCACTCACGGAACACAAAGCAAATCCCTACCTCAACAGCATCTCAAGTGATTATTCAGGGGCAGGATTCGAACCGATAACTTCGGCCTCTTTCTGAACTGAAGGGCGAACTGATCGACCTGCTGATAGATAGAATTCCATGAAGACCTAGCTAAGAGACTTTACTGAATGACTTGATCCATCGTACTGTACTAGATAGACCATAATCCTTTCATACGCTATTTTTGATCCAATCTCGCACTTGACACGCAAAGCAATAAACAGCAGTCTATCTTCACAGAGAAAGAAGCAAGGGACGACATTTGTCCCAGAATAATTACTAAAGTCTTAATAACAATAAGATAACAATAAGACATAACAAGTTTTAAAATAATAAATGACAACTTCTTTCTCATCATTTAATAATTTTTTTTAGATTTCATTATAATTCTCTCAATAAAAATAACAATGCATTTTAACGGTTCCTGAATGAAGTGGCCACATCGGGAGAATCCATCCTTCTGCCCTCTTCAGCAATTTTTTTCTCTCTTATTTGGCGTCAGCTACTCCCTCTCAATCTTGAATATAAAAAGTTAGAAACTACTTAGTTGAAAAAAATATTTTAATTCTAAATATAAAATTTTAATACACTTTTATCTCATAAATCAGCGGTTGAAATTTAGTTATTTATAAAATAATTATTATAAAATTACATAAAACATAAATAAATAAAGTAATTTATAAAATATTGAATTTAGACAATTCTTAGCTATAACCTTAATGAACATAGAAAAAATAATTATTTTATAAAATATTGAATGTAAAGGATTTATTTATTAGGACAATATCTACATCAATTTTTTTATATCTATTATGTTAAGTTTTCTAATCACACATGACTATATATCTTATTTTTAAAATATTAGTATTTAATTATAAATCCACAAAAAAAATGAAAAATACACTTGGCATTTGTGTGATTGAAAATTTTGACTCAATAAATATAAACAACTTGATCTAAGTTCTTTCCTATTTTTTATTCAATTATTTTTTTTTATTCAATACTCTCTTAGGACCTGCTTAAAATTTTTAAATTTAATAAAATGTGTGGTCCATTTTATAAGTTTTAATTTGTATTAGGCTTAATATTTAATACATTTTTATTAATTTTACCCTTAATTATCTATTATCTCTTCTTTGCCACATTCTCTCATTCATTTTCTCATATATTCTTTTTCATTCATTTCTTTATTAATTATGAGAGCATATTTAGAAATAAAAAATTATTTTTTTATTTATTATTTTAACTAATTTTGATTGACTTTTTATTATATGCAAATCAGTTATTTAGTGCATATGATAAAGGATCTAATCCCATCCTAATAAATAATTCTTATTTTACGAACTCCTACGTCTACAAATTGCAGGTAAAATTCATGCCTTAGTACTGTGCCGGAGGGACATTGAAAAAGCTGAATCAGCTCCCGTTGGGATGCTTCTTATTTTTTTTTTAATATAAAAACTTACCGGTTAATTTGAATAGTTTAGAAACCAATTAAATTTATTATCTATAATAAATATGTATTATTTTTTAAAATATCTTTATTAATAAAGTATAATGGTTGAAATTATAATTATTATAAGAATTATTTTAAATAAATAAATATAAGAGACAAAATTGATTATAATTTTATATTTAAGACTAAAATAAAAATTAAACAAATTTTTATAGAAAAATTGTAATTAAAGATTATAGAATTTGAAAAATACAGACAGAGACATGTAATAATTTTATTATGGGTTTTGACAATTTTATTTTTCAAATTTCACGATTTTTTTTTACGATTTCTCTATTTTTATATTATATACGAGGCTAGTAATTAACTTTTACACATGCTAATACCCCCCGCCCCCCAACTTCTTCCTAGACCACCTAAACATCAGCCCCACATCATATAATTCAAAACAAAAACAACCAGCACACAAATAATTAAATAAACCAACAAACACCCCTCTCATTAAAGTAACATTTATAATATTTAATATTGAATAAAAAAAAGAAGGCAATAAATGAACACCCATCCTGTTTTTTTTTTTCTTTCTTTCTCTTTCCATCCCCCAACTGGGAAGCCCCACCACGACACCCGAAAGCAAACGGACACGGGGGTAGCCACTAGAAATGAAATGAATGCCATTATGATGGCCACCTCATTTCTTCACGCACCAAACAACAATTCAATTCATCTTCTTCTTCATCTATCCCCCAATATCCATCCTCCTTTCTCTCTCTTGTCCTCACCAAAACATTTCTGTCTTCATACTCAAAATGAGCATCACCGCCTACTCTTCTCCTCTCTCTCCTCCTCCTTCTTCTGTCGTCGTCTTTTTCTTCTTCTTCTTTACTTAAAATCATTGATTTCGTTTTATTCGTCACTCACTGAATCCTGAAGCAGAACCTAACGCTTGAGAGACGGTATGAACAAACTTGTGATTGAAGTTCTTGATGCAAGCGACCTGATGCCAAAGGATGGAGAAGGTTCAGCGAGCCCCTTTGTAGAGGTCGAATTTGACAAGCAGAAGCAGAGGACTCAAACCAAGCTCAAAGACCTGAATCCTCTGTGGAATGAGAAGCTCGTATTCAGCGTTGATGACCCCAGAGATCTTCCCAACAAGACAATTAAGGTTGTCGTGTACAACAATAATCGATCAAGGGCTGATTCAACAGGTGGCCACCATCAGAACTTCCTTGGAAGAGTCATAATTAAAGGTGAGACTGTATCTTTATCTGAGTCTGAGGCCTATGTTCAGCGATACCCACTTGATAAAAGAAGTTTAATGTCACGTATCAGAGGAGAAATCGCTCTTAGAGCCTATCTTGTTTATGACGCTTCTGGTTATTCGCCTCCTGCTGCTGCTGCTTCTCCTCCTTCACAAGCACAGGCAGCGAAAGTGAATCCTGTGGTAGATCATGAACCTGTGGAAGAGACTCCTCTGCAAGAGATTAACACAAACAAGCTAGATCATCGTGAGGAAAGAAGAGTTGGTGATGATGATGGTGAGAAGAAGAAAAAGAAGGAACCTGAAGTCAGAGTATTTCACTCCATTGGAACTGAGAAACCTCGTAATCCTCCTCCTGCACCGCCACCTGCTGCCGCGGCGCCGGCGCCGGCGCCGGCGGCAGCACAGACCAGGGCTGATTTTGCCCGTGCAGGTCCACCGAACGTGATGCTGATGCAGGTACCGAAACAAAATCCAGAGTTTGCATTGGTTGAGACGAGTCCACCTCTAGCAGCACGCTTGAGGTACAGAAGAGGCGACAAGATGTCAACCACATATGATTTAGTGGAACAGATGCATTACTTGTATGTGAACGTGGTAAAAGCAAGAGATCTTCCAGTGATGGATGTGTCAGGAAGCCTTGATCCTTATGTCGAAGTGAAACTTGGGAACTACAAAGGCGTAACGAAGCACTTGGAGAAGAATCAAAACCCAGTTTGGAAGCAGATTTTCGCCTTCTCAAAGGAGAGGTTGCAATCAAATTTGCTTGAAGTGACTGTGAAGGACAAGGATTTTGTTAAGGATGATTTTGTGGGCAGAGTTGTGATTGATCTCACTGAAGTACCTCTTCGGGTACCCCCAGATAGCCCGTTGGCTCCTCAATGGTACAGATTAGAGAACAAGAAAGGGGAAAAACATAAAGGTGAAGTGATGCTTGCGGTTTGGATGGGAACACAAGCCGATGAGTCGTTTCCAGAGGCATGGCATTCTGATGCGCACAATGTCAGTCACACAAACTTGGCGAATACAAGATCAAAGGTATATTTCTCTCCAAAGCTTTACTATCTGAGAGTTCAAGTGATTGAAGCTCAGGATCTAGTGCCATCTGACAAAGGAAGAAGTCCTGAAGCAGTGGTGAGAGTACAACTTGGAAGTCAAATGAGATACACTAGGCCTTCTCCAGTGAAAGGAATAAACCCAATTTGGAATGATGAACTTATGTTTGTTGCAGCAGAACCTTTTGAGGATTTCATAGTGGTGACAGTAGAGGATAGAGTAGGTCCTAACAATGTGGAAATCTTAGGAAGGGAAATCGTATCAGTCAGAAGTATTCCATCTAGACATGAAACCAGCAAGCCCCCCGATGCTAGATGGTACAATTTACACAGGCCCTCGGCAGTGGGAGAAGAAGAAACAGAGAAGAAGAAGGAGAAATTCTCAAGCAAGATTCACCTCCGAATGTGTCTTGAAGCCGGTTACCATGTGCTCGATGAGTCCACGCATTTTAGCAGTGATCTACAACCATCCTCTAAGCATTTGAGGAAGCAATGCATTGGAATTCTTGAGCTTGGCATACTAAGTGCAAAGAATTTGCTGCCCATGAAGGGGAAGGATGGCAGAACAACTGATGCCTATTGTGTTGCTAAGTATGGGAACAAGTGGATCCGGACAAGAACTCTCCTTGATACGCTTTTCCCTCGCTGGAACGAGCAGTACACTTGGGAAGTTTATGATCCTTGCACTGTGATCACAATTGGGGTGTTTGATAACAACCACATTAATGGCAGCAGTGACAGCAGAGATCAAAGAATAGGCAAAGTAAGAATCAGGCTTTCAACTCTTGAAACTGACAGAGTTTATACTCATTATTATCCATTGTTGGTTCTCACACCTGGTGGCCTGAGGAAGCATGGAGAACTTCACCTAGCATTGAGGTTTACTTGCACTGCACGGATTAACATGGTTGCTCAGTATGGTAGGCCTTTGCTCCCCAAAATGCATTATGTTCAGCCCATACCTGTGAGGCATATAGATTGGCTTCGTCACCAGGCTATGCAAATTGTTGCAGCAAGGTTAGTTAGAGCCGAGCCGCCACTTAGGCACGAGGCAGTTGAGTACATGCTTGATGTGGATTATCATATGTGGAGTTTAAGAAGAAGCAAGGCAAATTTTCATAGAATTATGTCTCTACTTTCTGGTGTTACTGCTGTGTGTAGATGGCTCCATGACATTTGCACTTGGAGGAATCCCATAACTACTTGCCTTGTGCATGTTCTTTTCTTGATCCTAGTTTGCTACCCCGAATTGATCTTGCCCACCATTTTCCTCTACCTGTTTGTGATTGGGATTTGGAACTATCGGTTCAGGCCAAGGCACCCGCCCCACATGGATGCGCGGCTTTCACAAGCGGAGAACGCGCACCCGGATGAGTTGGATGAGGAATTCGACGGGTTCCCTACTAGAAAACCCGCGGATATAGTTAGAATGAGGTATGACAGATTGAGGAGTGTGGCAGGAAGAGTACAGACTGTGGTAGGAGATTTGGCTACTCAAGGGGAAAGAGCACAAGCTATACTAAGTTGGAGAGACTCGAGAGCTACAGCCATATTCATCATCTTCTCTCTGATATGGGCTGTCTTTATTTATGTCACTCCTTTCCAAGTGGTTGCAGTTCTTGTTGGCCTTTACATGCTGAGACACCCTCGTTTCAGAAGCAAGATGCCTTCGGTGCCAGTTAATTTCTTCAAAAGATTGCCATCTAAGTCTGATATGATGCTTTGAGAAAGGTACAGGTAGATCAGCTAGCTTCAATTCGAGCAATAATCTTCTTCATCCATATTTATTTCATGCTGTTCAGCTCTCGTGCACAAATAACAGATGGATAGCTATCTGAATAAAGAGACGTGCATTGATCATCACATGCAAACCACCCGGGGGCCCGGGGGGGGGGGAAGAAATATGGATTATACTTGCACTATTGTTATTTGTATGTACATCCAATAATCCTTCAATTTCAGCCATGAAACTAAGCATTCGTTAGTGCTTGTAATATAAAACGCCCTGGTGTAATTGTAATTAGACTGTTATGTTTTCACTAATCTTATCTGTAATGTGTACTCCTTTTCATCCTTGCACTTCCAACCACTTTATCATAACCAAGAAAAGATGATTAAACCATTAAATTTAGTTAAAAATTTAATCAAAAAATAAATTCAAATCTATCTTACGTCTTGAGAAGCAAAAAAGGAAAATTAGATCTAACTTTAAATAAGGGAAATCTTTTAAAAAAATATTACTAATATATCATTTTGTTACTTAAGGAACATTCGTCACTTTCATAATTTGCTTTACAACAGGAACCAAAGTGGTATTAACAATTAAGGAAGAATTACAATAAGGTCTTAAGGAAGGAAAATAATTACCAATAAGTCTTAATGATAAGTTAGAAGTTATTATTTTCTTACTTTAAAACTTGTCATTACAAGCTGTTTAGGTTGTCATTAGGATATTTTAATAATGTTTCTTCTTTGACACTTGATTGCAATTCTCCCAACAATCAATACCCAGTCACATGTGGAAATATATTGTGAACTAAAAATTCAAGATAAAATACTTTTGTTACTGCCATCAAATAATTATACTACCTCTAGTTCTAATTATAAGAGTTAATTGACTAATTTAAGAAGAGTAAAGAAAAAAGTTAAGTTAGTTATTTGTAATAAATGTGTTGTCTTTCCTAAAATATCCTTGCTAATTAAGTATATTAGTTAAAACTATCATTATTAGAAGGTACTTTGAAAAAAAAATACATAAATACGAGAGATATAATGATTGGAGTTTTATATTTAAGATCAAAATAAAAATTAAACAAAATCTTATATTAAAGATAGGAGGTAACATATCTAAAGGATGAGGGATAGAATTAGACGTTAATGGTCAAGAATCTTTGAGATCCCATATGCTTCAAATTCCCATTGGTCCTTTTTTCCTCTTTATTCAGAGATCTGAAGGCAAGTTTTGTAGCCCCTTTTTGTGTTGATGCTAAAGTATAGTCATCGAATCAGAATTCTGCGAACAAGCAGCGCTCGTCTCAAAGAGGTGCAGTGAATTCTGGAGGAATTAAAATAACTTTTTATATATTCCTTGGTACTCATTGCCATTGCTGATAATTGGTCAATAGAATAATAAGCAAATTTTTAATGTGTTGACAATGACCATAGTAAAATAATATACATATTTCATAGGAAGACGATAATGTCTTAAATTATAAAAATTAATTAAACAAGTTATTTATAAAAAAAAATATGTATTGATTTTTCTAAAGTGCCCTAGAAACTACTTTAATGAAAGATCTTTTAAATATGTGCAATCAATTGGGAGTCTTAAAAAAATTATAAATTTGGAAAATAAAATAAAGTCTTGCATATATTTAGAACCAAAACAAATTCATCTATTACTTCTTATATTTAAGGTTAAAGGGAATAATATCCAATGTCTTTTGATCAATTTTGAAGACTTGAAAGTACAGGAATCAGACAGTTCTTCTTCTTTGTTTTGTTTTGAGACAGCCAAACCCTTATTAGAAAGAACCACTCATAAAACTTCATATTATACAAGTGCAAAGAATGTAGATTTTTATTTTTGGTGTTTGTTTACTGTTATACATCATAATATTTTCTAAGGAAAATTATTAATAAATACCTATAACATTTGGAAAACCTGAATTAGTGATTTCAATATGATAAATTTCAAATCAGTCCATATTGTGCCATACTACCCTCATTCAAACAATAGTTATTTACATTTCTTTAGCTATTTGCTACAAAAAATTAGCCATTCACCATTTTTTTGTATTATCATATGCTACTTCGGTTCAGAAATTTAATTCAGTCTCTCCACAAAAAGTGTCTCTTTTATGACTCGAACTCGAGACTCAAAAGAATCTTACACTACTACACCAACTCTTTGTTGGTCAACCATTCACCATTATGGTTTAGCAATGGATAATATATTATAGCTAATTTCTACACTTGAATATATTCATGTAAAACAGCCTTGTTTGAAGTTATGTACGGAACTTCTTGAAAAAGCTATTCTCCTTGTTTGGATTGCTAAAATTTTTAGGAGGAGACAGAAATATTTTTAAAATTTTCTCTCTCTTTTGCTCCCAAATTAGGGGGATTTGGAGGGAAAAAGTGATATTTTAGTTTATTCTAACTAATTTGTCTATAATTAGTTTTTAATATCCCCATATTAGCCTTTTGATCTTACATCACATGATGAAAGGATGATAACTGTTATACCCTTATCACATTATATATCATATAATAAGAAATCTCTCCCCTCCTTTTTTCCCTTATCAATCCAAATAAGATAATATTAAAATTCTTCTCTTTCATTTTTTTCCCCTTCCCTTCCGTTAAAATTCCTTTCCTCCCCTCTCCTCTTCTCTTTAAAGCCAAACACACTCTAGGTGTTCACAAAAAAACTAATGGTGTAATCCGATGAGGCATTTACAACTTCTTTCTAACCACAAACAAATCGAGAGCCCCCTGATTTCCTTGACTAATAAACTTGTGATTTAGACAACACTGGCCCATTCTATGGAAATTTTGATGAAATGGCGAAGCATGGACGAGAGGCCTAATGGCGCAAACGTTTTGAGACATTCCCATCGTCACGAAAGATATTCCAATAAATGTTAGTTCATAGTTGGAGGGGAAATCGATCCACTATTTGTGATTCTTTATCCATAAAATTGCATTGCAAAATATTTTAAAATATCGAATGCACATCAAACAATATTTGAGGATGTTGACTGCATTTGATGCTTTTATAAATTTGAAATATTGATATGGGAATCTCATAAAGCTTTATAATTGCTTTTTTGGGCCTTCAAAATATGTGCCTTGCTTTTTTTAATAAGTTTTTTCCTTAGATGAAAAAGGTGTACTTTATTTTTTGCATTCTCCTTTTGAAGGGCAAATTATAATTGCACATGTCCATGCATATGGGTACCGGCATGCACATACTCCCTTCGGTCCTAATTATAAGACCTGGATTGTAATATACAAATAATATCTTATAATTAGGATCGAAGTAGTATATTATTTCTCTTGTCTTATCTCATTTTGAATTTGAATAATTGGAAAATTGAGAATAAATTATTCATTGAAAAATTAATTGGTAAATAGTTTCTAAAATAAAATGTTGCACAAAGAAAGATAAATTGCACGAAAGGGAAGTCGAGTTTGCATGTAGGGAGAGCAATTTGCACAAAAAATTATTTAAATAGAAAGGACTAATTTGCATATAGGAAAAGGTGGATTGCACATAAAAGAAAGTTAAGTTATACTCAATGAAGGTTAAGTTGCGTAAAATCCTTATAAACAATTTGCCAGTTAATTTGCCACATATGAATCTACCCCCAATTTTAATTACTGTACTTTATTAATGACAATAATAAAAATATACATATTAATTAATTCTGTTTAGTTGTTTCTATTAATAACCATTAGTGCAATCGCAAAAGGCTGGAAGTGCACTGAGTCAATGAAAAAAACAATTTCCAGCAGCAGATGCCTTCAGCGCAAAGAAATGCTTTTCCAAGGGAGAGGTAGATCCTTTGCTATGAGATAAGAACCAAGTTTCCCGTGTCGGAAAATGTGTGGAAAGACAAAAATGCTTCATTTTATTATCTTCCTTCCATTGTGATGTCGGCTTCAGGTTTTTTTTTTTTTTAAACCAAAGACAAAATTATATTAAAAGAAAGCAGAGCTTACAAGTTACATACTGAAAGTAAACCTATTAAACTAGAATTAACTGAAAGAAAGCAAGGTTTCGGCTTCAGGGGTTCATCTCCCTTGCTCTCTCATGCGGTCATATTTCTCTATGGATATTTCATTTTTTTTTTTTTAAAGAAGTTTTGGTCTTGACTTGTTTATTAGTTGCAAAACATTGATTAGTCTAAATATGAAGAGAAAATAACAAATAACAACACGGATATTGCAAAATCTTAACTTACGATTCACTACCACACTTTAATAGGTTTTGACAACAATTGACTTGCAAATAACAACACATTTTATTTTTTGGTAAATACTACCTTCGGTCCTTAATATAAGACCTCGTTTGACTTTTATTTTGATTCTAAATAGAAGACCCCAATTCACTTTGTCTCTCATATTTATGTACTACTATTTTTTTTTCAAGATAGTCCTTCTAACAATGGTAGTTCCAACCAATATACTTGATCATTAAGGATATTTTAAGAAAAACAATATTTATTTATTACAAATAACTAACTTAATTTCTTTCTTTAATCTTATCAAATTAGTCAACTAGCTCTTATAATTAGAACCGGAGGTAGTACATTATTTGGGATTTTGCAATTTTCATGATTTTTTTTATCAATTTTTCAAAAATATATACCCCTGTTTATTTTTTTAATTGTTGCTGATCTGATCATGGCCATGGGGCTATGGTTAGTTTGTTGAAAAAGATGAGGGACTTCTGCTGATCAAAAAATTAAAAAGAGATGAGGGACTTCTTTTGACATGTGAAATAGGGATTTTTTTTTTTCCAAGTGAAAAATAAGGATATTTTAGAAATTTGCCTTGCATTCTTTATATAACAAACGCGTACCCACCGCTGAAAATTTTTCCGTCCCATCATTTTCAATCTTTTTGCCATCCTTTTCATTCTTTTTCCTTCTTTTTCATCAATATCCAATTTTTATACCGACACAGCGCTAAGTAACCGGCGTATTCCAACGCCAATTTTAGATAAAAAGTTATAATTATTATTCTCAATCTTAGATATTAGACCCATTTTATAGTATAAAATTATACTACAAAATAGATCTTATATTTAGAACTAGAAGAGTATTTAATAATTTTAGTAAGGGGCTAATAAACAAATTAATTAAGTGAATATTAAATTAAGAGCAACATCATCTGTTATCCAACCTTTTTAGGGAAATCAAGATTATCTTAGCCAATTTATATTCACACAGAAGTATTTATTGTCACTATAAATCACCAAAATCATTGAATATTTCAAATTAGTTCTTTACCTAAATCAACCTAAGCTCTTATAAGATTTCTAAGCTCTCATAATCAACCAGAACCA